ATTTAGTTTCCAATGATGTTGCAGTGAAAATCTCCAATGCCATTGTACAGTACATGCTAGTTAGGTAGTGTGGGAAGATTGTGGTTTCAAATCCCAGGTGAGATACTGTTGCTGTTACCTTGAGCAAGATATTAAAGCAAGAAACTGCCCCAGTTAAACAATGTTTTATCAACGGGTGCAAACGTGAGATTTTTTGGATAAAATCATCAGGCAAAAACAGTAATTAATCCTCACTCAATTTTCTCTAGTACTTTAGTTATAATAATAGTAATAATATCCATTGTAATAATAATAGTTTTAGTAGCTTTAGCAGCTGTGTTAATAACTATAATATTATTGATATCAGTAACATCATATAATCTTGTCATTGCTGTATTAAATTTCCATTGTATGACTGAATAGGCTTAGATACCTCCAGCTCAAGGCAAACAAGTGGAAAAATGGTTAGAATTTTCCTTTATAACAGAGCACAGCTGTGATCACTGGTGGGTGAGCGTACAGTAAGATCACAGGGAAGGAAGCTTGTGTTGATGAATCAACGGGATCTCACATTGAAAGCTCGTGGCTCGCTCTTTACCAGCTGAAATCAGGGAATGACAGAGATATTCAAATTAAACCCAGCCCAGTATAATCCTGTCTGAGACAAAAGACACCAGGGAGAATGTTCTTGATTAATTAGGAAACGGTCTTTCCCTAGAGTGTCTCTTGCAAATGATAGCGACAAAGGAGGAGGCTTTTCCACTGGCAAAACAGCACAGGACATCCCTCGGAAATTTGTCAGTTATTGCTGGAAGAGAATCAGGTCTGATTAAAGGCCTGTGCGCAGCAGGGGAGGGAGGTGTGTACATCTGTCTTTGAACTGTACTGGGGGGAGAGGTTTCTGGGGGCATCAGGGACAGGCAACGGCTTGTTGCACGCGCTCTGCTCTTCCACACCACTACAGAGTGCTCGCAGCACAGGTCAGGAGCAGCATGCTGTCCGAGATCTCCAGGCAGCGGTGGCTCTGTCGTGGAGAGCTGCAGTACCCACGCCAGCCGCCTGGGATTGTGCAAATCATTCCAGAGGCCAAAGGTGAAGGATCCCTCTCAAGCTATTTTTCCACAATGTAGTTCAGTGACTTTTTTGCAGTGTAATAGGAAAAGGCAAAGGCCTGTAAAATATAAAGACTTTATTCTTTACATGTTGATAATAGTAACCCCAAATGACAAAGGATTGAGCTGTGTAAAACCACTAGGGCTATAGATCTCCAGACGCCTGGTGAGTCTGTGCTTAGTAGAGAAGCTGAGGATGTGAGATGTGAGGACTCAATTCAATGCAGCCAAGACATTTTTGCTCAAGTCGTTTGCAGTAGTGCTTGAGAAACATACTGTACGATCTGTCACCTCTAGGTTTTGCGACCATGTGTTCCTGGCCACCTTTTAGAGGCATTCTTCTATTCAAGACAAGGTTTGAAACGCAGCTAGAGGATCACACATCCATTTCAGAGAGAGTCCATTGTGTGTGCCTGCCTTCCATTAGGATTAAGCAATAAGTGGTGAACAATAACTTGCTGGTGTTACTTTCTCATCTAAAGGAAAAAACTAAAAAGTATTCAGTCAAAGGAATCACAGTAAGTAAGCACTTATAGAGTTCTATAAGCCCTGCTGATTAAGTATGAGATGGTTATTATACAATAAATACTGCACACGCTATTATATAGCAATTATGAAAATGAGTTATTTGCTCTACACCTGAGGTTCTTGTGAAGTATCCCATCCAGGCTCTGAGGTGGTACAGTATGTGTGACATGGTTCTAGTGTGATCTTCAGTTTCCACAGAGACAATATAAGGTGGTAGCAGGTGTTCCTCTGTGACTTCTGCCCTTTATGCCACAAGAGCTGTGACCTTCTTTTCCATGACATTTGACATGTGTAATGGTCCTGACGGTTTTCCAATATGCTCTTTTTGTTGCAGCTGTTCCAAGTCAATCTATTGATCCCCTTACTATACTGTATATTGCTGGAATTAAAAGGGGGACAGAGAGTAGGTGGATTTAAAGTTTCCTCGTTCCAGAAGTGATTAAAAATAGAATCTAGTAATTGCACATGCCATCTACACAACAACCTTATGACTAGTTAAAGCCAGATACATGTATGCAGTTATCTTAGACTGCAGTACCAGTTCTTAGCAGGTGGACCCTCTGTAGCCAGGTGGCTGTACCTACTAGACATCAGAGAGCGGACTAGACTATGTCTTGTTCAGTGTCTTCGTTTCACTAGTAATACTGCGTTAGAGGGAGTTACTACGGAAGACAATTGCTGCTATCAAGAAAAAAAATGTTTCATGTGTATCTTGTAATTATGTGAAAACTCTCTTTATTATGAAATTGTATATTTTTGTAATTACAAGATAGTCCTTTATCGAGTTACTGCGACATAGTAAATTACCTCATTATTACGAGATAGATCATTTGTAATGTAATTATGCAATCATGTACTACAGTATCTCATAATAACGAGACAACATGTTGTCTCGTCATAACGAGATAATGTTCTCATAATTACAAGATACACATGGAATATTTTTTTCCTTGATGGCAGCAATGCGCTTTTATAAGTCACTGAATGTCTTGTTTAGCTGAAAAACTGCTGAAGTGTTGTTTTTCTATGAATGGACATTTCTTTTTTTGGTTCAAAGGAATGCTGCATTAAAAACAAACAAAATAATTACGAGTAAACAGGACGTTCCAAGGGACTTGTCAAAACTTAAAACACCAATTTAACCCAATAAATAAATTTGTTTCAAAGTATTATCTTCTAGAAATCCTGTTCAGTCGCTCCAACAGCTAGCTTGAGGTTGGAAGGAAATATAAAAACTCAGTTCACTTGCTCCTCTGCAGCATCTCTGTGCTTTGCTTTATGGAGAACACTAGCACAGGATTAGCGCCACCTTCTGGCTCGGGTTGAAAGGTATTTCAGCAGGAGACAGTCTGTTCAAGTTCTCTGCATCTTGGAAGCCTTTTTGAAAATGCTTTGTGCAGACTTGAGCTCATAATCACAGTACATTTTAGGAGACAAAATCTGATCTGTATGAATAATTCAGTTATTCCTCACTGGAGTGAGAGTTAGAGTATGCTTCTGGCAAGGCCTGTTAAAAAGGACTATGTTGATCCTCTCATCTTTAAGTAAATCATTTATTCTAAGGTTTGTTTCATGAAAGCAGGTAATTGCTTAAAATAATCAAGTAACTCTTTTCTTTGGGGCATCTCATCCTTCACCAAATAGCCTTCCAGCACATCTTTGAGATATAAAAGAAAACCGGAGGCACCTGAAACAAAACCCTTGCAGTCACAGGCAGAATAGACAAACCCCACAGAGCAAACCAACTCAGCACAGAATCGAACCCAGGACCCGAAGCAGTACTAACCAGGCCTACAACCCTCATGCTGTCCCTGTTTACTGTAGCACGGATTTCAAAACCTTTTGCTTCAGTGTGATATTTTCTCGCTTTTTCTTCTAAATATATTCCAGGTAACTTTCCAAAACTAGCTGAAATTAACCAAATGTTAATGGCTTTTTTGTGTCCACACTTTTCTGTATTGTGTTTCTAGATTTTTCCATAACTTCTCAGATAATAGGGATCTTCATATCCCAATCTGCCATTTGTGTAATCTTATACAATATCAGAAAACTACAGTGAGCGGGGAATAGTCACTGGCTGTGTGGCAGCTGAAAAGAGAGAAACACTGTCCTGTGGGTGATATACTGTATCTCCTTCCACATTTCAAAAGGCCTCAGCGATCAGACGAGCGTGACGGCCCTTTGCTTTATGTCATTTCATTTGGAAACCGTGTTCTGAGGTTGTCATGGCAGTCCTGTGGTGTTTTACTCCTGGTGCTGCGACCTAATTCCCAATAGAAGTCTGCACTCTGTCTCCATAGCGTAGGGACATGACCTACTTGTACTGTAAATGCACATTATTGTGCACTGTCTGGCCACCCGAAAGACCGGCCGGTATTAAACAATCTCATGACTGAGCCAGTGTGATCTAAGGCATTGTATTTGCTAGTTCCTTATATAATTCATTACATAATTTAGTATTTCAGGGCTTAGTGGAGCGTATTACTATTAACAGGTTAGCTACAGTATAAGAAATATGTGAGAATACATACAGTATACATTTTATACAATGCAAGTGGGCAGATACTCTAGACGATATTTCACCTAAATATATCAGCCTCAGAACTGAATCTGAATTCTCTGGATCAGTGTGTTGTTAAGTCTCTGAAGACAAATTATGTCCTTAATAATAAGAATAGAAATATTACTTTTAAAGTTCTAGTCCAAATCAGACTGTTCTTCTGTACTGGATGTAGCTCTACCGCATGGGAGTGTTTCCACCCTGTCGTCCTGCTCCCTTTCAGAGGCCTCGCCAGTGAAGGGGGGGCCTGTTCTCCAGATGGAGGGCTAACACGTGTCTGTGTGCGTCTGTCTCGGCAGCCTCGGTGTCCAGTGAGAATGAGGAGCGCGTGTTCCGGGAGCGCATGCGGCCCAGGAAGCGGCAGGGCGCGGTGCGGCGGCGGGTGCACCAGGTCAACGGGCACAAGTTCATGGCCACCTACCTGAGACAGCCCACGTACTGCTCTCACTGCAGAGACTTCATCTGGTGAGTGCGCTGTGTTCGGCCCACATGCTCCCCCACGCCGCTGCCAGCCTCGCCGGACGTAGCAGAAGCACGCACTGGTCTCGGCTCAGGGCACCGTCCTCACCCCCAAACCGGTTCAGTTCCACTTTAAAGCAGCCCGAAAGACAGTGCCTAGTTATTTGCCTGGCCAGAAATACTTCGTACACAACAGACAGCCTGTAAAATCATAGTAGAGTCCCTTTAGTCAGAAACAAACCCCTGTTTGTTCCTTGAAATTGCGAGATATCTGCTGCAATGATGTCAAGTATCTATATATAGTTATTTGGCTTGTGCTTTCATCCAAAGCGATTTACATTTGCACCCCTCTATACAGTAGTGCTGAGTATTTTACTGGAGCAGCCCAGGTGAAGCACCTCACTCAACAGCAGTATCTCGCCTGGAATTTGAACCTCTGACCTTCCAGTCAGGAGTCTAGAGCTCTAACCCCTGCTGCCCCATTCTGTTGTGAGCATGTCAAGGGAACAGTCACATTCTGCTGTACTGTTTTCATAAAACACTGGCACAAACTAAGACTTTTTCCCTCACATTTGTCTGTCCTGGTTTAGTAAATTAAAGCATGTGAGTACGGTGTCCTAACCTGTTTGCCACAGTGAGGAAATGTCTTCCCATTTCCTAATTCACAATTGAGTATTAAGATTGTCTTCCTAAGCAACATGTAATGTAAATAAATATCAACTTAATGTCTCTTATTCTTATCTTGCTTTATCTCTTCCTAAATTTGCACCATTTAGCTTTTTAAATCATATGTGAGATCTTTCACCAGTTAAACTACACAACAGACTGACAGCTCACATTTGATACAAATTAACATTAACCTGAGAAATGTTACATTTCAAGAATTATGTCACATGAAAATATAAAAAATGATGCACTAGAGGAATAGCAACTATTTATTTCTGTTTGTGTTATAAAGTCTTTATAATTATTGTTAAGTAACCAGTTATTCACTAGAGCTGTAATAGTCATGGGAAATGTATCAGTGCACCGATTGGATATTGCCAGGAACAGAATTGCTTACTACTCTAGAAGGTCATGTTGCCAGGTGGTTGCTAGACTATTGATGTACTGTAGGTTGCTAGGAGTGTTATGAGGGGGCAATGTGAACAGGATATAGTCACTAGAGATAAACGTTTCCAGCAGGTGGCCATGTATAACTAGTCTTGCAGGTGCTTCCAGAAAAAAAAGGAACTGAAGACTAAAGTGTACACAGCATATTTAAGGGTAGCTTGCCAAAGATAAATCATTGTGGATGTTAACATGCTGAAATCCCTGCTCCATTGCTGTAAACATAGTAATTTTAATGAAGTAATTGACGATTCCCTGGAAGGATGTATCTTAACTGCAGACAAAACTAATCGTGGGGTCTTACTATGAGTCCAACCACACTACTGTATTTGTTGCCCCTTTGATTGGTCAGAAGTGTTGCTAACACTTGCTCATAATTAAAAGGAAAACGTTCAGTAATTGTAATCTTGTTAATGACAATTGCTGGCACTTTTATTCCACAAATCTGTGGAAATTACCTCCCTGTTACATCTCCTGAATTAAATTTGCTGTAAAAACCGACCTGTAATCCCAAAAAGGATATACAGATGTATGATGGGCAGTTCATTTTTATCTCAAACTATCCCCTGACATTGGTAGCAATTGTAACAGTGCAGTGCAGTTTCTAAGAACTAATTTTGTTCTGCTAGAACCCAATAAAGTCAAGATGTTATCTAGCTCCTGGAGTGCCAAAGTGTTTGCGGGTGTGTTATCGTTGTGAAAGACCTGTGTGAGGCAAGGGAGTGGGAGAGCTGTCCTGGTCTGACCTCTCTGTGGAGAGCATTAAAGGAAATTCTGGAGGAAGGTGGGGGAGGTAGGGGCGGAGTGCAAGGGGGGTGTAGTTTAGCTACGGATGGCTCTCCTTTGTGTTTGTTGTGGCTATATTGGGAAAAGCTTGAGGTTGGAAATGACACAGCAACAATAGCTGTTTATTTAACGTCTGTTAAAATGATTCGATACACTGTTTCTTAGCTGCTTCTGCTCTGATGACACTGCTGCAGCTTTTGACCACATGTTTACAGCTGAACTGGGGCACCGAGAGAGATGCTGGCAGCAGCATCGCTCACAGAGGCGTTTTAAGCTGCTTTTCTCCATTGCTACCAAAACTCCTGAAAGGGACACGCGCAACCCTCACATGTCATCAAGCCAGTGGCAGAACTCCCAGAGCTCAGGGGTTTCAGATGGGTTGCTTAAGCTGAAAATCCTTTTTGGGCTGCAGTGGTGCATTTTTTCGTGTTTAGGCTAGGCATCGAATAAAGACGAGTTTTACTGGCCCAGGCTAAATTGGCTTTGACCACTATGGACATTAGACGAACGTCAAAGAAAGGTAAACTTAAGGAAGCAGTCTGCTTTATAGGATTGTCACTTCATGAATTATTAGCCATGGTTTCAATATCAGTTCGTACAAATGAACAAATTCCCCAGATCGTGCATTTTTCCTTCTTATCGCAGTTGATGAACAAGGAGATGCAGCAGGATTTGTAACTTGATTCACCAAAGCTGAATTCCCAATAAATAAAATACAGCAAATAGCTTTTTTGTGTGCTGTCAGAGAAGGGAGTCAGATAGTCTCGCCCATCGTCCTTGTGAATGTGACTGCTGTAACTTCCACTCACGAGGCTAATGGCAAAACAGATTTTCCAACATGGTTTTTCCACAGGCTGATCTTTACACCATTTAGCCTTCACAGGATCTATTGATAACTGGCAGTAGCCCTCACGGGAACATGCTAATGGGAAACTGCATTTTTAAAGTATTTTCTCCTCTTTGTTATTCCACTCCATCTTTCTCTTGTACTTCTACCTCTAGTTTTCTGCTTCTGCGTTTTCTTCTGTTGCTGTATTTGGTTGTGGTGGCCGAGAGATACAGTATTTGCAGCCCCTTGGCCCTTTCAGAGGGAGTGTGGTGCTTGCTGGGAAATGATCGGCTCTGTGGTGCATTGGGAAAGCTGTTATATACAAAACATTGATAAGAAATCAATGTCCTTCATTGGAGTGGAGGAGAGAGTAATAACCTAATATCCAATATTGATGAAAACCTTTATTCCTTTAATGGCCATAAGAAAGCTGCTGTAGAGCCAGTCATGGCATTAGGTCTCCTAAGTGATTTCACTTATAAACTATTTCTCTAGTTTTTGAAGCTCAAATAAAGTGATTGTTTATGATGGAAGTTTTCAGAAAGAGGGAATCTTTTTTTTATAATTGGGAATTTTGTGCAACAATAACTTAATATGGCATGTCATGTAAAACAATATTACTTGGATAATATTGGACGGATAGATGTTCAGCTCTTCCATTTTTGTCTTGCAAAAAAATCCCTTTTAATTAACACCGTATTATAAGCGAGCGGTACTTGGAGATAATTATGCCAGACTTTTTAAAGATAAAAGTATGATTCCATGTTATCTAAAAATCCTTGATTTCCAAGACCGTTTTGTTCTGTAAATCTGCCTTTTGGCTCCCTCTGCTGGGCTCTTTTGTCATTTCACATTTCTCAGGAAAGCGTTCGTGACCATCTGAACTACCGTACCAAAATGTGTGAACTATTGCACCACAAATAAAATATTTGACATCCCGGACTCCAATAAAGGATTTAGTCTCTGCTCCGTGACATTCGTCCCTGATCTGAAAGCAAAAACCTTCACAGTTGCCTTTCTGCTGGGATAGAGAGTGAGTTTACCTGGATGGTGGCATTCGGACTGGGATCCCGACTTTCTCTTCTAGGACACCAGTTGACCCATTTTAAACTTGCCACTGAAGTGTATGTACCACCACAGTTGCACCTGGGGAGTATCTGGTACACACCTGCGTGTGTTTTGGGAATGTCCTGTGGGTGACAGAGTTCTTGTGTGAAGACAGCTGCATGTTTTATTGGACCAATCTGCTTGAAGTAGCTTGTTCAAGGACCCTAAAGCAGCATCCCATTCAGGATCCGAGCCCATGACCTGCTGATCAGAAGTCCAGAACCCTGCTCTCTCTTCCACCCTGCTAGCCCACTGTGTAGAGCCCTCCCAAATCACTGTCAGTTTGCAGTCAAAGTGCCTTTCGATTGCAGGTCCAGCAGAAGGCAAAACATCTATTTGGTGAGGCTGGGTGAAAACCATGATACCCTTAAATCGCATTTGGTGGCATTTATTTGAAGAGATTCTGCATATAGGAAGAAGTACAACTAGATTATACTTTCTTTATGTAAAAACAGTCACAGTGTAGTCAGATACCTTTTCTAGTTTTCAGATTTAGCCGTATTCTTTTGTGTGAGCTTGTGTCTTCAAATGCATTAAGATATTTTAAAGTGTTAGACATTCTTGCAAAATTGTTTTCTAATTCCAAATAGAATGGAATCCCTTTGCCCGTTTCACCTAAATTTATAGGACAGCAAAAAATCCCATATTCAGTAGTGAATTTCTGAAGAATTGGGTCCTTCAGTCCTTGTCCAATGTCAACTAGACCAGCTTAGAATTTCAGCTGTTACACCACACTGCTGGCAGTTTCTCTGATATGCCTTGTTTGTCTTTCCACAGGGGAGTAATAGGGAAACAAGGTTACCAGTGTCAAGGTGAGTAACACCTGGTCTCCTATAATCTATGGCTGTACAAGTTTTTTTTTACATTTTTATTTATGAATATGTCATATCTGCGTAACATATATCTCCACTTGTTTATTTTTAACTAGCTTATCTTAAAAAAAACACAAGAAGACCCACAGAGGTTAAAATGAGCCTTTGTAGAAATGTTATGAGCATTTATTTTTATTTCTCTGTTTCCATCAAAATGTGTGCAGTGCATTAACCAAAGTCTCGTCTCTTCTCCAGTGTGTACCTGTGTAGTCCATAAACGATGTCATGAGCTTATAATAACTAAGTGTGCTGGCCTGAAGAAGCAGGAAGCTACGCCAGATGAGGTAAAGGAGCTCTTCTCTCCAGCACTGTGGGAAATGTGTGTTGGAAAGTAGACTTCCAACACCTAGAATTTCAGATTGCCACAGAAGACACTTCCAAGAATACAAGAGCTGAATTTAGTAAGGCTAGGCATCATAATATGTAAATCATTGTAATAAGAGTTAGTGACTTTTTATTGCAATAAATACCTTTTGTTTTAATCTGAAGCAAAGAAGCTATCAAAAAAGGTCTGACTTGTTTTTTACTATCTCTGCTTGAGCAGGTACAGTAATTCTGTGCATGAAAGTGACACTCAGTGGAATGCCATAGTTGCCTCTGGACTGAAACTGGAGAATTTGAGATGTTTGACAAAGGATAGAATAAAAATATATTTTTAATGGCTTTTTTTTTCCCTGAAAGCAGTGTTGCAGATTTTGGGTGCTGTCTGAACACAAAAAAATTATAACATTATGCAAAAGTGTACACAAACTGTGGTGAGGCAGTGAATTTAGTTGATCAAGAACAGTAGATGCTTTGCATTTCTGTGTACAGTTATCACGATAGTTGTTGGAATAGGCTGAATCATTATCTGTGTTTATGTATATATGGTATTTACATAGACATATACTGTATTCAAAACGTACATTATCTGTGATTATTTGCAGGTGGGGTCTCAGCGCTTTAGTGTCAACATGCCACACAAGTTCAGCATTCACAACTACAAAGTCCCCACATTCTGCGACCACTGCGGATCACTGCTCTGGGGTTTGCTAAGACAAGGGCTTCAGTGTAAAGGTGAGCCAATATTCCACTACTTTCTCAACATTCTAGATAGAGCATTGGAACTGTTCTATAGTGCTCTGATCATCACCCAAAAAGGTCTATTAAATCGTGCAGTAGAACCCGGCCTACATAGCTGTATTAGAAAATGATACATTCTGAAAGTTGGCCAGGATATCGGTTTTGTAATCTTTGTGTAATGCATGTTGGTTAAACTTCTTTACAAATTACCATAAATGTAGTGCCTCTGGAGCTGGCATTTCCTTCTCAACTCTTTTGCCACAAGATGGCAGTAGTGGCTTTGCTTTTGTGTGTATGACTTTTGTGCTGCTGGGATTTTCTGCCTGGTATTATGGGCAGTTTGGTGTAATAGAATAAAACAGTTTTTTTTTTCCTTCTCCATTTTGCTTCTTCTTTCTTGCTTGCTTTCTTTCTTCCTTGGTGCTGTGTCTTTTCAACAAATGCTTGATTTGTTACTGTTTCAAATTCGCTTTGACGTTTGGCAAGGTTTGCGAAGTCTGGGTCAGCCTGGTCTCACCGTGGTGGCACCCATATTAGATAAAATTGCAGTATGGTTTTCACCTCTTTTACAGTAACGCTTTGTTTTCCTTCGCAGTTTGCAAGATGAATGTACATAGACGCTGTGAAACAAATGTGGCCCCAAACTGCGGCGTGGATGCTAGAGGAATTGCAAAGGTGCTGTCAGACCTGGGAGTCACTCCAGACAAGATCACGAACAGGGGCCAGAGAAGAAAAAAGGCAAGTCACCTGGGCAGGTCAAGTCCTGCTGAAGTCTGACGTGCTGCTTTTAGAGACACAGGCGAATCCCAAACTGGGATCAATACCAGCCTGATCTTGTTGCACAAGATCTTATCTGTGAAAAATTCATGTTCGTTTCAGAAGGATATGTTAGTATTTTACAGACCCAAGTCCGGTTTTCAGTATTTTTGAAAGTGGCGTGACTGCCATTGTGTTTTTTTATTTACTGCACTGTAAATCTAGTGTTTGGTAGCCCGCTATTGTTTTCTAAATGTTGATCGAAGATCATGAAAGGCGTGATTTTTCCCATCATGCCATTGTGGACCCAACATTGGAAAGTAGCATTATGCCGTTGGTCAGAGGTTTGTTATCCACATGTCCACCTATGATCCTGTCAGTTCATGATGGGTCTTTGTTGGCCCAGTGCACAAAAGCATTCTGCCTAATGTTAGAAGAGCCTTAGCAAGGCATCTGAATACCTTCAGTACTCCGGGTGTGCAAGGTGACGCTGGGGGAATGGGGCTCAAGCCAGTAGATCAGTGTACCTCAGAGGTACTGCTGCAGGGTATTGTGTGGGGGCTGCCAATCCTCTGTGCTGGAGGCCCAGCGTCAAGCAGGTTTTATGTTTGTTTTGTGAGGTGGCCTGAAACAATTTTGATTTGACCACTTAAGCAGATGATTTGTTTAATTCAGTAGCTTAGAAATGTGAAATTAAAACACTCGGAAGGTCTCAAAGAGACAATGCCTGACTTGAACCAATGAGATTACTGGATTGATCAAAGCGCCTGTGTTCCAGGTCTTTACAAATTGATGGTTTCAAGGTGACCTGTTAGTCCTGCTACACGGTGGCTCTTCAGGAGCAGAGTGGGCTGCATCTGGCGCCGTACGTGTCCTCTGTCATGCTGTGCCACGCTTCAGAGCAGGGAGACAGAGCTGTGAAAGACTGGCACTGCTGGAAACCCTCATGATGAAACTTGAAAGAAGAAAACAACGAGTAAAATGGGCCTTTACAGCAGAAGATATTTACGAGAAAAAAAAGCACATAATGTATCATGAGGAGAAAAGAGCCACCCCAGTGCTACTTCTGATGAAAGCACGAGCGGTTATGAAAATTCAGTTATATAATCGGAGTGAGGTTGTGTTATCTCCTTTTTAGATTGGAAAACAGGACAGGATCAGTTTCATATCAGTGGAATAGTCACTCTGACATGTCTGGTTGCCTGGCTTTTCTCAGTAAGAGAGATTGGACAGGTGCCCCACGCTCTCTTCCTCTCTGTAAGCCTCATTCCAAATAAAAATGAGGACAATTACTGTGCGTCACTAGGAGGATAAATAAATCCAGAGTGAAGCCCACAGTCATTGCGCTTCCCTGTGCCCCGAGCTCAGCACACTGCGACACCATGAGAAAGTCTGTTATACACCGAGCACAGTCAGTGCTGCTGGTTACCCGTCATCCCCCTCATAAATCGTGAGCTTTATTGACAAGGATCATTTGCTTTCAAATTTGACTCAGTTGCACTAAGTATGAAAACACTCATGAAAACATTAGAAAATAAGTCTTCAGTGAATAAACACTTTCATTTGAATTGATCCAACTCAGGCAGCCGATCATTTAGAATGTTTTTCACTAATTCCTGATACCCTGCAATGAATGCGCCAGTTCTTATACAACATTGGGGGGACTGGAAGCCTAAAGTGTTGCTCCTTCACACTTAATACAGCCACACTCCAAGCACTTTGCAGGCATTACTTGAACGTGCAGCAGGCCTTCAGCTCACCCATGGCTTACATGTGGCAGGAGATTTAGTAATATGTAAAACTGTCTCATGTGTGTCAAGTGGATTTGATGGCAAGGCTATTTGACTTACCAAGGGGGCCAGGAAGCCTGAGCCGAATGCACAAGCAGCAAAATCACAATGTTCCAGACTACTGGAGAACACTTTCAAAATGAGTCCTTTAGTGCCATGGTCTGTAGCATTACAGTTTTGTTAACTGGATGAACCTTTTTCGATGGTGCTTTTCCTGGCATCCACAGTAGAATAAATAAGAGACAGATCAGGCTGCTTCAAGGAAGAAAAGAGAGGTTCCAAATGAGAGGAGGCCAATTGCCCCCTTATGGCCTGAGTAGGGCAGACTTAACATGGGCTACTTGAACAACATGTGCTTCCTGCTCCGTTAGGTCTACTGTTGCACGAGAGAATAAGGTTTCTTGTTCTTCCAGTTGAATCCAGCAGTCGACTCGCAGCAGTCCATCCCAGGAACTCCTCAGACGGAAGAGGACCGCTCCAAATCGGCACCCACCTCCCCCTGCGACCAGGGTGCGTCATGCCAGGACAAGCACACCGCCGTCTGTCCGATCAGTGCAGGAGAATTACTATGAAACTTTGTATGAATATAAAAAAAAGTCTTGTGTGTTTCATGTCTGTAGAAATGAGCAACATTTATGCTATTTTTGTTTATTCCACTAAGCTAATATCAAAAACGAACAGGAAAAAATAACCTGTTTAGCTGATGATAGCTGTTTGAGAATGTTGAGCTGATTTGTGAGTGTAGTACATTATATAACAGGTATAGCAGGATTTTTCCATATGGTCTTTTAGCTTTGTCCTTCAATCACCTGTATTTGTCCATTTTCTTTCTTTATTTTCAGAAATCAAAGAACTTGAAAACATTCGGAAAGCGCTCTCGTTCGATCACCGCGGTGAGGAGCACAAGAGCTCGTCCTCGGCATCAGGAGACAGCCAGGGCCGAGGGTGTGATGGCCGAGAGAACGGAGAGGTCAAGACCCTCCAGAGCAAGAGGATGAGCCTGGAAGACTTTATCTTCATTAAGGTCCTGGGCAAGGGCAGCTTCGGCAAGGTATCGCCAGCTTTATCTGTACACGTGTGTAACCCGCTGTTGTGGAATTTTTGTCTTCCCACTCCACACACTGTATTGTTTTGCTCCAAACCTCAAGAGTTCTGTCATTATTTGGAGTATAAATCTCCTTGGATAAAGGCATCAGAAACATGGTACATTATTAGAAGCAGAGGTATGAGGTCACTTCCAGCCTGAAAAGTGAGAAAAAGAAAAATGTGAAAAATGACACCTGAATAAGGCTCATATAAGAGTTGGGCTATCTTTCTTTCTACTTCTCTGCAAGGATTTATGCCTGCTTGTTCCTATACTAGAAGTATTTGCAGTAATAAAGAAGCTGTGTTAATTTAACCATTGTAGAAATGATTAAATTAATTAGCAATGGTTAATGGTAATTTCCCTGCATATGATGAGTAAAATACATGATCTCACTAACTTGTCTAGGAAAATAGTCATAATTCGGTGTTCCCTTTAGCTGTATGGAGGTGCTCAGTGGTGCTGGATTGACGGTCCTGTGCAGAGGTGAGAGTTGTGCCCCAGGTGTCCCGAGCAGCTCAGAGGGGCTGTGCTGATACTGCATGCTGCCTTCCTCCAGGTGATGCTGGCAGAGCTGAAAGGTACAGACGAAGTGTACGCTGTGAAAGTGCTGAAGAAAGACGTCATCCTTCAGGACGATGATGTCGACTGCACGCTGACGGAAAAGAGGATCCTGGCGCTGGCGAGGAGACACCCGTACCTGACCCAGCTTTTCTGCTGCTTCCAGACAAAGGTACACATGCGTCGTGGAAGCAGGAGCAGCACTTTCTGACACTCCCAGATAGAACCTGTCAGAGATCATTAACCTCTTGTCCCTGTGCGGAGACAGCTCTTGCTGCACCTTGATGTCTGTGTCCCTGGCAGATGGGAGTTCCACACATTGTGTCCTGCCTGTCACATAAGAATACACAGAACGTTAACAACAGCAGATGGCATTCGGCCTGTCTAGCTTGTTCACTTTCTACTTCCATGTAGCTCTCGGGGCCTTGAGAGGTTTTAAGAAAGAGCAAAGTGAGTCAGATTCCTTAACATTATTCAGGAGATATATTTGAGTTAAGACGTGCTTTTTTATTTTTAGTTTCTAATTAATCTGAATCCTCTACACCCAGCAGAGAGTATAATTTTGAAGCAAAAAACTCAGTCCGTCTGCTCACATGCCTTCATTTTTTAAGACGGATGCTTTATTTTCCAAATGATGCAGACTGGCAAAGGGAAGTTGCTTCGATGTTGCACAGTGCCATTAACACACAATTTTGCATTGACCACTTTTACATTTCAAAGGTTTTGAAAATACAAACATGGCATAATTTGCATAGCAAAAAAAAATTGAAACAACTACTGTAGTATTCAGTTTAATTTGATTTGTATTGCCTGCCTATGGTACACAAACTGAAATTGTTGAAGAAACTGATCATCAGCAATAGACTGAGCTAGAAGACTTCACTGTACTGTGTGGCAGAAGATGCTTAGATGCTGCCTCAACCATTTTCTTAATGAGAAATGTTTTGTCATTTGTTACCTGTACAAATAAACACGCTCTCAGCAATAGCTCAAAAAGCTGAATAATATAATATCTTACCAGACACCTAAGAATACCTTTGCTGTGCTTTCTTTTTTGCACTGTACATACATGAGATTATAGTACAGCAGTCAAGCTCATACAGTAGGTATTCTAAATGATACAGGGGTATGTGCACATCTGCATGTCTTTGCAGAGTGATACTGTAGGTGATCCTGTGATACTGTAGGTAGCAGCAAGTTTCACTGCAAAATAATAATCACTTAGAAATTTTAAATCCTTAAAAAAACAAACCTCCTAGTTTTTGTTGTTCAGACAACACTGAAAGAAGTACTGTTTAAAAGGACGAGTAATTGCCAGTAGGTGGCAATAAAGACTTGTGAGAGTGGTGCTTTTTCGCTGTTTCTTTGGCTTTTTATTCGGCTTGTCGGCCTGATAGATATGGTTCCTATGCCAGTACTTTAATAGTATGATTTCAGTGGATAAATGTGTTTCAAGGACAGAATAATTTTTGAGAGAGTAGAGATTTTTAAGATTGGGTAGTAAAGAGTTCTAAAGCTTATGAGGCTTGTTTAATGATGTTGAATTCAGTTCTTGTTTTCCAGCCATTGCTTTGCCCTGTGTGTTTATTCTGGGTGGTGTCACCACTGTATGAACCTGAAATATGGTGGCAGTGATCCCTCACAGGTGCATCAGACTAATCGATCTCATACACTAAGAGTTGTATGATTAACGTTTTTCATACAGGAGAAAAAAACAGATTTCAGAGAAAAATGAGGGAGAAACAAACTACCAGTCAAACTTTGTAGGTGGTACCTGAGTGGCTCAAGTGATAGTGGCACTTGCCAGAGCCAGTTTCAAACCCAGATCATGTCACTCGCTGACTGCAGTCTATATCACAGTTGGCGGAGGGTCGCTGAGGGGAGGATGGGTTAAGTTGGACACAGTAACCCCTGTGTCATCCATCTTGTTGTTGGTGAGGGACTCATCTCCTCCGACTGGCACTAAACCTCCTGTGACATCTGTGACCTTTGAAAGACGAGTGTCTCAAAGCTGAGCAGGTCAGAGGAGACAGCCTAAACTTCATTACCCTACCCATTGCTGGGTGTCACAACAATAATTGGTGATTCTAAATTTAAGAAAAAGTCCCAGCTTATTATGACCCTCAGAACTGAAGAGACTGCTGTGCTGGCAGCTCTCACCAGTGTAGTCAAGATGTTCTTGTTCAGCTACACAGTTTACCATCGGGGAGGTGGTCAAAATTGAATCATTTTTTGGGGATCTGAAATGAGTCCTAGGGGGCCACATTTTCAGTATCATTACTTGCACTGAGACCCTGATGACTGACACTTCTCCTCCAGCTGATGTACTAGGAAACAGTGCTGCCTGTAAGAAGCACGCTAACTGGGGCTTGCAATTGATTTTAATACCCACAAGTCCAATTACTAGAATATATGTGTCTACAGTGCACAGAATCCAGATCATTCTAGCATCTTAAAGGGTCACCAGTTCTACTCTTTCAATTAAATCCTCGATTTTTATCGTAGAAAATCCAAGGTGGTTTGTACGCTCTTCTCAGAATGTTTGGTTCTTGTTGTGTAATGCTGGCAGTTTGTTTGCACTTCTAGGAAAGTTTCAAGTTAAATGCATTTACATGTAGAAATGTAAAACAATGAAACAAGGGTTTGCTTTTATTTCCTTTGAGTTTCCATTACTCTCAGCTTGTCCCCCACTGACTGATTTCGCAGTTCGACTGGAAGCCGAAGAGCCTCGCCTTTTAAAACGATAACTGATGACGAATGCATGTTTCTTCCTGTTTAAATTAAATCTGCCTTAAATCTCATCGTTTACCGACACTGGCAAATACGGTATGTGGCTTTGTTAGCAAGGGGAGAGAGTTACTAAAAATATTTAATCGGTTACTTTTGATGCATCGTAGCTGCATTAGCCTTAAAAGATGATGAGCATGTTTTTAAAATAAGCACATTAACATAAGCTCTTTTGGTTAAAAATCTTAGTTTGCAATGTGGAGTGTGAAATATGTGCCTCTGGAAAATGCTGCTCAAGTTTCACCTTTTTTCTCACTCTGTTCACAGTATCACATTTCATTTTAAAAGTGAGAGATTTTCAGTTTCAGGTGTCTGCCTTGCTTCGTGCTGCTGTTCTGGAACATTCAAGTTGAATTGCATTGTGTATGCACACACTTATCGTCTGCAGGGCGGCCTCTAGTGGCAGCCCCATGGTCATTGCAGTCTATCCCCGGGGGTACCCTGCCACACTTAACAAAATCCGTCCTTGGGCACAGAAGAAATTATCTCCACATTGGAAGGATGAAAGCTTAGTGGAAAAAGTCCCAAAGTGTGTTATCAGTTGACACCAGTTGAGAGCTACATGTTTCATAACTGGTCTGTTCAAAGGCTGAGAAACACCCCTGTAGTTTTGTGTGATCGTGCTCTGTGCTGAGCCTGAAAACAAAGGACAGCGCGGCAGCCGTCAAGCTGTCTTTAAAGGCTTGCGGCTGTGCGAGGCGTGCAGAGCTCCATTTATTGCCATCCTGCCGTGAAGGAGTGCAGAAAGGTGGCAGCGGAGGAGAACAGGTGACGCAGAACTGCGCCTCCACCTCAATGCCACTCAGTCATCTCCTCAGCGCTTGTCAAGGAGCAGGCCTAATGGAAACCGGAGATTTGTGTTATGCAATCTGAGAGGCTTCTCACACCTCATTTATATTAGTCACTTCAGTCTTTAGTTTGCGTTATTGATAGGAATGTACAGTACAACTAAGCACATTTGTGTTTTTTCTGGAAATCCTAAAGGTTTGAAAATGTTAAAGCCGATTGGCAAACAACACCTAAAAGATAAGCCAGTCCTCAGTAACACCGGACACCAGACCCTGTAGATTGTGAATGATTGTCATGATTGATAGGCTGTTCTACAGTGTGCTCACAAAATTATTGTCGTTAGGCGGAGGTGATGTTGACAAGCAGGAAAGGATCTGGCACTGAAACTGAAAGATATAAAAATATTTTGGTGCCACACTGTCCCGTGAATGATGACTTTGAGGTCCGGAACTGTCGTGCCAGTGTGCAGGGGAGCTGTGTTGGTGGAGAGAGATCTGAGCAAAGAGCTGTTCTTGTTTATTTTACTGCGCCGGCTTGAAACCAATCGTAACAGTGTTGTGTTACGCTTTTTTTCCCCCCATTTATTTATTTATTTTCCTAAATAGCGCTCAGAACATTTTGTCCTGGAAGGCAGAGAGAGAGGGAGAGGGATCGGGTGGGTGGGCATCTGTAATGTTGGTGTACAGTTCTTTTTGAGAATTTCCAGTGGGGAAAAAAAAAACTAAATAAGAAAGAGTTTAGAGAAAAGTATGCTAGATTTTTATCATTTAGTGTGGATAAATGGAAGGCTTATTTAAAGGAAAAAAATAGAACAAAGACAAATGAACCTTAGAGGTTATACCAATTATGCAAGCCCTGAATCCTTGCCAACAAGATGACTCTGGTGTGTATTTTCTGATCAAGTAAATATTTTGAATCAACGAACTTAAGTATGTGATCCTTTATCATAATTGTGGGTCAAGCTGTTGTCGGTGAAAAAAAATATGAATAACAAATTGGGTGTTTCACTTGTATTAAATAATTTTCTGCCCTTCTTCCTAATGGCCATTCTAGCTCCTCAGTGGGCTGTACAAAAACAATTAACTGCACTGAGGCTAAAGAAGGGGAAATTAGCACGATGTTGCTAATAATGTGATAAATCCAGACAAAATAAAATTGTCATTAAAAAATATCATACAATGATGAAAGTTTTCCGAGAAGATTGCACGTTCTTAGAAAACATTTCAAAGAAGATCACAGGTTCTTAGGATTAAGGTAACCCTTTGGAAAATAAGTCACAATGATAAATCCAAACCATTTGACAAGAGAGAAAAGAAAACACAAACTGGTCTGATGCTTCAGATAAAGCCTCACAACTTCACAGCCTAGTCCTCCATATCACGTTTGCTTGCCTTCTGTCACCCACGGGTTACGGTATGAATGATAATTGTCACTTAACTTCTAAAAATAGAGAAACTTGTCAGTCCTGAGCTAGATTACTGAGCAGCTTCCTGGTTCTTCTTTCTGCAGCAAAGGGCTGCAGTCTTGCAGCGATTGTTGGTGGAACAATGGCGGAAAAGTCCACCATTTCAATTGTACTTCAGGCTATTCTCTAAT